TATAGTTATCCCTTGTAAGTTCGTCTGTAAGTGCACCGTATTCACAGGTCGCGGCTAATTTTCTTAAACGTGTGACATAACTTTGGATGGTTTCTTCGCTTTGCTGCACACATGTATTAAAAACATACCGTTCGTATACTAAATTTCTGCTGGGCTTGAAGTAGTTTTCCAATGCTTCCAAACATCTGTCGATTTTGTTCTTGTCTTCCTCTGAAAGGTTTAGTTTGAGTAATATCTGAAGGCATTCTCTGCCCATTGATGAACGCAAAGTCGCTAAACGGACCGATTCTTCTCGTTTGTCTAGGCCTGTTGCTATTTCGTAGTCGCACCATTGCTGCTTGAAAAAGTCCCAGTTGGCCGTAACGTCACCGTGACACTTCATAGGACTTGGTAGCGGAAAATTAGGTGAGATAACTTGAGGATAAATTGGGGCTGCCCATGACGGTGAGGCGATGTGCGCGCCCGACTCCACGTGGTCATTGTCTGACGGCATCTTGAGTGTTTTTTTGTTTTTTTTTTTACACTTTGAGTCCGAAAATCGCTTGCAAGTTACGGACAATAGAAGAAAATAGCCTCAGCAAGGTAACTTCTACGAGTAATTTGCGAAAAAAAGTGCCGAATCGTCAAAAAATTAATTTTTGTCCTGACACCTTGTTAAAGTATGCACGCTGCAAGCTCTGTGAATCTCAACTGATTTATTTACGACCAAATAAGGAATATACGTAAAGTGACAAGTGACGTAACTTATCGTAACAGTTTATGGTTTCCTGAGTTTTATAGAAAGACACCTAACCCTGTATCTGCATGGCTATTAAAGTTGATACAACCTATGGCCAATTGTTCAATTTCATGTTCAGGCTATAGTAGAATACCATGCAAGTGGGGTGTTCGCACTTTTTAAAGTGATGTATAAGGAAAGTAATATCAACATTTACTTTAAATTTTTCTATGTTATGGCAATGAGGTTTAGTAGATTTTAAATTTTTTTTCGAACAGTTGAACCTAGATAGCATGCATTGCTTAAACTTGCAATGTGGTATTTTTGTGATAGCAAGCATAATTCTTGTCTGCTAGAAATATTTTATTACCTGCACTAGGATTATCACTTTCCTGTGAAGGTATCTTAATCAAGCATGCACATTATTTTATGTCATTTACAACTCGGACGTCTCAGGTCTGAATTTGCTGCATTCTTAGGAGGCACTGATTTCTGGATAAAGATTTTTGGATAAAGACTTCTAGGTAGAAACTTCCGGTCAAATGCACATTGTCTAGCTATTAGAAAAAGTGACACAGTCTGATCCATTAATTAAAGATAAATGTGTACTAGTTAAAAAATGACTTTTTAATCGCAGCTCCTTCACAACCTCCCTCTCAGTTTGTTGTCAGTGTGGACTCTTCAACTAGTATGACAGCATCATGGCAACTACCATGGAAAGACTCTAGACATGGAATCATCAAAGGATTTAAACTGTTCTATAAAAAGAAAGACTCAGGCCCAGAAATTTCCTTGACTATTGACAATGGAAACACATCAACAAGAGTTACCATGCTTGATAAATTCACTGAATATGAATTTCAAGTGTTGGCCTTTACTTCTGCTGGTGATGGACCAAACAGTTCGACTGTTCTTAGGACAACAATGGAAGATGGTGAGAATCAGAAGTGCTGTAACCAACATTTAAATCAACGGAAACATCACAATTGCNACCGTATTCACAGGTCGCGGCTAATTTTCTTAAACGTGTGACATAACTTTGAATGGTTTCTTCGCTTTGCTGCACACATGTATTAAAAACATACCGTTCGTATACTAAATTTCTGGTGGGCTTGAAGTAGTTTTCCAATGCTTCTAAAAATTTGTCGATTTTTTTCTTGTCTTCCTCTGAAACGTTTAGGTTGAGTAATATCTGAAGGCATTCTCTGCCCATTGATGAACGCAAAGTCGCTAAACGGACTTATTCTTCTCGTTTGTCTAGGCCTGTTGCTATTTCGTAGTCGCACCATTGCTGCTTGAAAAAGTCCCAGTTGCCAGTAACGTCACCGTGACACTTCATAGGACTTGGTAGCGGAAAATTAGATGAGATAACTTGAGGATAAATTGAGGCTGCCCATGACGGTGCGGCGATGTGCGCGCCCGACTCCACGTGGTCATTGTCTGACGGCATCTTGAGTGTTTTTTTGTTTTTTTTACACTTTGAGTCCGCAAATCTCTTTCAAGTTACGGGCAATAGAAGAAAATAGCCTCAGCAAGGTACCTTCGACGAGTAATTTGCGAAAAAAAAATGCCGAGTCGTCAAAAAATTAATTTTTGTCCTGACACCATGTTAAAGTATGCACGGTGCAAGCTCTGTCAATCTCAACTGATTTATTTATGACCAAATAAGGAATATACGTAAAGTGACAAGTGACGTAACTTATCGTAACAGTTTATGGTCTCCTGAGTTTTATAGAAAGACACCTACCCTTGTATCTGCATGGCTATTAAAGTTGTTACAACGTATGGCCAATTGTTCAATTTCATGTTCAGGCTATAGTAGAATACCATGCGAGTGGGGTGTTGGCACTTTTTAAAGTGATGAATAAGGAAAGTAATACCAAAATTCACTTTAAATTTTCCTATGTTATGGCAATCAGGTTTAGTAGATTTTAAATTTGTTTCAAACAGTCGAACCTGGATAGCATACATTGCTTAAACTTGCAATGTGGTATTTTTGTGATAGCAAGCATAATTCTTGTCTGCTGGAAATATTTTATTACCTACACTAGGATTATCACTTTCCTGTGAAGGTATCTTAATCAAGCATGCGCATTATTTTATTTCATTTACAACTCGGACGTCTCAGGTCTGAATTTGCTGCATTCTTAGGAAGGCACTGATTTCTGGATAAAGACTTCTAGGTTAAAACTTCCGGTCAAATGCACATCGTCTAGCTATCAGAAAAAGAGACACTTTGTCTGATCCATTAATTAAAGATAAATGTGTACTAGTTAAAAAATGACTTCTTAATCGCAGCTCCTTCACGACCTCCCTCTTAGTTTGTTGTCAGTGTGGACTCTTCAACTAGTATTACAGCATCATGGCAGCTACCATGGGAAGACTCTAGACAGGGAATCATCAAAGGATTTAAACTGTTCTATAAAAAGAAAGACTCAGGCCCAGAAATTTCCTTGACTATTGACAATGGAAACACATCAACAAGAGTTACCATGCTTGATAAATTCACTGAATATGAATTTCAAGTGTTGGCCTTTACTTCTGCTGGTGATGGACCAAACAGTTCGACTGTTCTTAGGACAACAATGGAAGATGGTGAGAATCAGAAGTGCTGTAACCAACATTTAAATCAACGGAAACATCACAATTGCTGACATAAAGCTGATGTTCTTTATTGATCTGTGGTGCTGGCTTTCAAAATGTGGAATCTAGGCTCAAATACTGGACCTTGTCTGTTTAATTAGATTTGTAACTTTGTTGTAATGTTATGAGATCGTCTTCGTCGTTTACG